AAATGTCAAATTTAGGTGTGCCACTTTGGGAATGGTCTTAACCGATTGATAATTCATTTCTTAAAATTCGTAAATTTTCCCAGATTTTTTCTATGTCGAGCAAAAAAAAATAGCAGTTTATAAGGAGACCCCCTAATTGACGTAACAACTTGACTTATGGTCGTTTTAAAAACGATTGTTTGCAAGTTGCATTGTTAACAGTTGTACAATATGAAAATTAATCAACGTGAATGCAAATATTCATAATGATTTTACGGAAAGTAACTTTTGTGTCATCTTGACAACCGTATACAAAGTTCATTTCACTTTTCTACCTTCTAAACACAAGAGTTCGAATTCTTTTGTTCTATTTAAACCGCATACCGGACTGGTAAGCTAGATCACATTGACATGTATATAGTCTTAAACATAGAGTATATAGTTAAACAAGTAAAAGAAAAAAATGTATATGTCATGATGGATTTTTATCATTGAACAACAGTCGGTTAATTACATTAAAATTCATTATATTGATGAACAGGCATCTCAATCAAGAATTGAGAAATAGAGACTAGAATATGTATTTGAAATGAGGGCGAAATACAAGTCAGGACAGATTACAAGAGCAAAATTGTTCATTCCTTGGTCTTCAGATATCAAGCGAAAACTGACCTGTGGTAGCTATGCGTGTCTTTGATGTCTTTATAATGTTTACTTTTAGGTATATATAGCTATATCAATGTGCTATGAAATTATTTTTAAACACGAATGTGCTATGGAATGACTAACTTTTAACCATAAAGAAAATATTGTAAAAACGCAAATGTCCTATACAAAAAGGGCAAATGTCCATAGTTAAAAAGCGCAAATGTCCATATTTAAAAAGCGCAAATGTCCATTAAAAAAAAAGCGCAAATGTCCTATGAAAAAGCGCAAACGTCCCGCGCCGTGTGAAGTAGACACTGAATACTTATTTATTAGGTCTCAGTACTTTCCTAGAAAAAAATGTGCTTGTGATATGCCAAACTCTTTAATTTGAACCTAAATATGTGAGATACCTTTTAAATAGTTACTAGAACATAATACATGATATGTAGGTCATAATGACCCAGTTTTTGAAATAATTATTGTGTTATAAAACAGAGATTATAGCAGCGAAATAGTATGGTTTTTTTTTAATTTCATTTTATGATACTGACCTAGACAAATTACTTAATCAGTCACTTAAATGTGAAAAAACTTGTTGTGGTGACAAATTATTTTGCTCAGCTGTGATGATACATATATTAGAATTGGCAACGTGAAATATTATTCCTATACCATAATACTGTATTGTACTGTATAATAATTCTGATGAATGTTTAAATCAAGGATTTGTATAGTCTTACTTTACAAATCCATGTTTAAATGAACAAGAGTGCACACGCTGAAATGTCTCGCCTGTTTTACTAATCATGATTTTTTTTTGTTTTATCCAAAAAATAAATGTTTACTACAAGTACCACATAAACTTAACATAAATAATGATCCATGAAAATGAGATCAAGGTCAGATAAACCAAACAGACAGACATAAACACCTTGCAATCAATACAAACTCAAATATAGTTGTCCTATATAGCTTATAGTATACAAGAAACAGACATCATGAAAACTTAATATTGACCAATGTACTATGAAAATGAGGTCAAAGTCAGATGAACCCAGACAGACAGACATGTACTATTACAACCCTTACACACACAAACTGTAGTTGACCTGCTTACAGTATCTGAGAAACTGATCTAATCATGTAACTATAACCTTGATCACTGATCCATGAATTGAGCTCAAGGTCAAGTCAACGGTATCTGAAGGATATAAAGACCTTGTAAGGATCCCATATACTAAATATAGTTATCATATTAGATTTAATAAGGGAGTAATTCACAAAACGATAAAACGTTTTTTTTCCAAGCAGTCGCTGAACCATGAATATGAGAGCAAGGACAACGGACATATGACAGACACAAACTTTGTAACATAAGGCATATGTATACAAGGTATGAAGCATCCAGATCTACTACCCTCTGAAATATAAAGCATTATACAGTTTACACCGCTGCCAGATTGTAATCCCCATTGCTCGCATTTGGAGACTTTCGTCGCTGGCGAGACAATACCTAAACAAGTCACTAAAGTAGAACTGCTTATTTGGTACTAAATATTAAAATATGATCGTATTATGATGTCACCTCCCCATTACTTTCAGAAAAATGATCATAATGGAAATAAATTGCTTCGTTGAGCGCAGCTGGATACGACTGCAGATGTCAAACCCTGAACAGTTGGGGCAAAAATGGACACAATATTTGCGCTTGATACAGGTCTGAATTTGGATTTTAATTCAATATTTGACACATAATAGGTTTCTGACACAGAATAACTGTAGTCAAAGAACTTAGAATGAATTAGTTATATGATTTGAATTTATATTCAATGTTTTGCTTTTGTGCAATGCACTATACTGTTACGAATTGACCCCCCCCCCCCCCCCCCAAAAAAAATATTTACCCCCCTTTTTTTTGCTTTTGTGCAATACACTATGCTGTTGCGACTTAACCTCCCCCCGAAAATCTTTTTTTTACCCCCCCCCCCCTTTTAAAAAAAAAATATTTGAAGAAATTTTCTTTTTGATTTCTGAAATCTTAAGGAGGAAAAATTGTTCCCACCCTCAATTTTTTTTACCCCCCCCCCCCCCCCCCCAATTTTTTTTTAAACCTCCCCCCTTTTCCAAAAAAAATTCTTTCCCTCAAATTTCCAATGGAGTTTGCAACCATAATAACCCATTTAAATACATCATAAAAGTCTTTTAAATAGAAAATGACATACATAATCATGGCTAAAATTAATATACCATAATCAGCATTTTTAAATAATAAAATTTTTAAAATAGTAACTTCTAAAAATAAATTGACAGCTAATCACCTCAAGACAATACATTTCTTTATACATAATTTAAAAGCAGTATAAGGGAGGTAATTCAAACACAACATTGTATTTAAGTAATTGTCCATTAACCAGGACATACTTGTTTTTTCTCACTTTTTTGCCCCTAATTCCTAAACGGTTTGAGCCATAACACCCCAAAGCCAATCCTAACCATCCCTTTGAGGTATAATTTCAGAGAGATCCATACACCGTTCCACAAGTTATTGTCTGGAAACTAGAAAAATGCTTATTTGGGCCCCTTTTTGGCTCCTAATTCCTAAACTGTTGGGACCATAACCCCCAAAATTAATCCCAACCTTCCTTTTGTGGTTATAAACCTTGTGTTTAAATTTCATAGATTTCTATTTACTAATACTAAAGTTATTGTCCGGAAACCAAATGTCTTCGGACGACGCGGACGACAACGATGTGCGGTCGTATAAAAATAACTAGTTGGAACACACAAGCATAAAATCTTATAATTAAGACTTTAAATGTTGTTGAAACTATTAAAGTTATACCACTTATGATTCAGAAATACCATCAATTTACCAGTATTGGTTTTCTTTTATAGCAACTTATAAACCAGCTTACAAGAGGCACACCTGCGCCTGTATCGCTCACCTGGTGAAATAATCAAGATTGCTAATTAGGACTTTTATATACATTAACATGAATTAATCTTTGTGTTGCTGATCATTTTTTTCAATCTAAAATTGAGAATGGAAATGGGGAATGTGTCAAAGAGACAACAACCCGACCATAGAGCAGACAACAGCCGAAGGCCACCAATGGGTCTTCAATGCAGCGAGAAACTCCCGCACCCCGAGGCGTCCTTTAGCTGGCCCCTAAACAAATATGTATACTAGTTCAGTGATAATGGACGTCATCTGCATGTTTAACATAGCTCCTATAATTTTTTTTTTAGATAACAACCAAAACGGCAAAAACAGTAAAAATCTAGATTTCAGGGGGTACCAACTATAAAAAAAAGGTTGTGAGTAGATAGAAATTGACATGTTGATAATTTTTGTAATTGTCCTTTTTAAGCTAGCTCCTGTGGTTTATTAATCAACATTTCAAGGGCAATAACTCCAAAATAGGTGGGTATATTTTTCTAAAATGTTCCTGGAAGATAGTTGTTGTGCTGAACATTTGTACCTTGACAGTCTTTCTCTAATTGCTATAGTAATAAAATGTTTGCTAACAAGCCTTGTACAAAACCCACTTTTAGACCCTGGCCTACCAGTATATAAATTTTAAGAAAAATAATAAGCTATACTGCTGTACCCCAATTTTTGACATTTTTACCTATTATGTCTGTTTGTTTTGTTCACACATTGTTGTCAAGATAATGGAATTTTATGCATCTGTCATACAAGTGAGAGGTTTAGCTAGCTGTAAAACCAGGTTTAATCCACCATTTTCCACATGGGTAAATGCATGTACCAAGTCAGGAATAGGACAATTGTTTTCCATTCGTTTGATGTGTTTGGACTTTTGATTTTGCCGTTTGTTGGGGGACTTTCTGTTTTGGGTTTTCTTGGAGTTCGGTATTTTTGTTATTTTACTTTTAATCAAAACACAGAAGAATTATATTTCATGTATGCCTCTATTTTTATAACTGTAACCTTGACTTTGACCTATTGACCTAAAATTCAGAGGCCTTGTCTCATTTCTATTCTGATATCTACAATTTGTATAATTTATAATAAAATCCAACACGAGTACCTCAAGTAAGTACCCAGAAATAGCAAATTGTATCTCATATTTTTATATTTTCAGCATCTGTGACCTTTCACACAGAAAGACGAACCTTGAGAAAAGAATAGACTGAAGACAAAGCAACGACTATGTGATTCTCAAATAATTTTCAGAGAACATGAAAATTAAACTAACTGAAAAAGAATGTAATAATATATTACATGAATAGCTCTTTTATTTGTTGTTCTTCAACTTGACAATGTTGGAAGTCAATTATCAGATGTATGTGACTGTTTTTTTATACTTCAAGATGTATTTTTATCTGTGGATTGAAAAGGAACTAAAAACTAACAGATATTTTTTAATTGTCACCTGTTTACAAACAACAATAATTTAAATCAAAATCACTAAATTTCTCAATCTTAAATAATGTATACCTGAATGCATAAATCATATATTTTAACCATTTACTACATGTAAGCACATTATTCTGTAGTCTTAAATTGCTCTGACTTCTGACAGGGGGAATCAGGGAATAAAAAATACATATTTGGAATACAAATTGAATAAGGAAATGAATGGTGTATCATTTATTTGCTTGACAAAGAATCTTTTACAATTTATAATCAGAAACTTGTTGCCCAAAGTTAGGGTTATCAATTTCCAAGTTTCCTACATGGACTGCGTTATGATGTCCCATGGTCCATGCAAAACGAAAATAACACCGTCAGATGTTAGAGCAATCTAGAACTTATTATACCCATTACCAAAACTACCCTTTTCTTAATGAGGATGGTAAAGGGGGGTGCTTGCACGGCAAAAACGTGAAATAAGACATAATTTCTGTCATGAACCTTGCACGAGAAATAAAGACTTTGATGTGAACCTTTTGTGACTGAGTCACTGTCCTCTTGTATATATAAACTCTCTGTTTTACTTAATATTCCGGATTAAGTATACACATTTATGATATAAATGGTTTACGGCTTTTAAAAAAGTATATAACGATCTTCTTAACTATAAAATGAAAATAAAGGAACAACATCATAGGCCTTTCTGCTTTATCAAAAAACAAAATTCAATCATTTTTTTTACTTGACGATCCCTGCCTAGTGTTTGAAATTTATTTGAAAAATACCGAGCACGCAAAATAAGCATTTGAAATTCACGATGCACGTAAAATTAAATAAGCAGAACACGTTGAACGAGGCACCTGTCTTGCACGACTGAACGTCAAATAAAAAAGTTAAAACACGTTGAACGTGAAATAAAAAACGGCGATCACGTTGCACGAAAATAACCCTTTACCACCCTCCTTAATGTTTATCTAAATTTATTTAGTTTTGTGTTTGCAACCCCAAACAATTAAATCATTATGAAATATACAAACTATAAATATAAACAACCACATTGCAACAGTATAGATCTAAAATAGTTTATCAATGTTCATTCTAAGTTATAATCAAGCTGTGAGAATTTCTAATTATTTGTGAGTTATTTCTGTCTATTGAAATTTTTTAAATTTACATTACTTGTAAAGATTCACCAGAGAAGTCGATCTCATCTGTCAACAATACACATCTGATCTTTTTGTTTAATTTTTTTTTATCTCAACATGCACATGTATCATTTCAGCCACAACTTTTGTTCTTTGAACAAACCCAAAATGTTGTTGACAAAAGGATAAAATATTATGGTTGACAATCTAGACTAAAAAAAATTATGACTATTCATAAACTATCATTTATAATACCCAAATAGTAGAAATTGCTTTCTAAAGTATTGTTTTACTAGATGATGTGACTTTCAAACAAGGATGCTGTGTTCTCAAATAGGGATTCTCTTCAAGAAACTGCTAATTAAACATCAATATAAAACTTCACCTGAGTCAACCAAACATACTGTCAAAAGTGGTCTAGAATTTTATTTTACAAAAAAATTAGATGTGCTTGTAATATGGAAAACTCTTAAGATGAACATAAATGAATGAGACATTTTAAAAAATCTACTAATACATGATATGTAGGTCATAATGACCTAGTTTTTGCAAAATTGTTTTGTACAAAAACATGAGGATTGCAGCAGTGAAATATCATTGTTTTTCCCGTATTTTATAAGATACTTACTTAGGCACAATACTTAACCAGTCACTAAAATGTAAAATGCCTGTAGTAGGGATTCATTTTGCTCAGCTGTGATGTAACATACATTAAAATTGACAATGTGAAATAAGGTTGCTCTACCAAAATGGATTTCTATCGAATGGATAAATGAAAAGCTAAACAAGTCACTAAAAGGTGACATAACTCTTACAGAAAAGAACTGTTTATTTGGAAGTTAATTTCAAAATATTATTAATTTATAATACATGTATCAACAATTTTTTTCTTTCAGAAAATGATTCTAACAGAAAATAAATTAACTACTGGTAATAAGACATCAAAGCATGAAACTGAATAATTGGGAACTAAAATGTTGTAGGAACTATTAAAATTATACTTTTACTGATTTATGATTAATTAATTTACAAATATTGGTTTCTTTGAAAGCAACTTGAAAATGAAACTTTTCAAAACCAGATAAAGTAAATCATCTTTCAACTGTGAGGGGCATAACTTTTTTTCTTTTTTGGGACAATAAACCCAATTGTTTTCTTTTTTCAATACCTGTATCACTTTAACAAAGCACACAAAACATTACACCGGTAAAGTTTTAGCTAATGTATCACAGAACTGGTTGTATGCATATAATGATATCTTACATGATAAAAAAGTCTTCCTTTAAAAGGTTTTTAAGAACCATATTTTAGCGCTTTATAAAGTGATTTTGTTTTCCTAATATATATTTTTTTTATTACAAACAATACATACTAAGTGAGAAAAGCTCACACTGGCAAAAAAGGCCAGGTCTGATGAACTAAAAACTACAAAATACAAATCTTTACCCCCTAAATTAATTATACAATGAATGTTAATTACTTACAAAATTCAATAATCATCTTCTGTGTTTAAAATGAATATTCAGTGATGGTTTTTTAAGACTTAACAGTAACATAAAATAAATAAATTTTAAATTATAAAATTTATATAACAAAATACTAAATATAATTGTCTTCTGCATAACTGCACATAGAACTCTTGTATATAATTCTTTCTGTCATCTTTTGATTCTGTCCTGCTTATCACAATCTATAATAACTATGTCTCCCCATTGGCATCATTATCATCTGGTTTTTCACCAATGTCTGGGTCTGTACTATCCATGGCATGGGATGTGTCTGTGGCATGCGAAGCATCTGTTACATGCGATGTATCAACATGGTCTTCAGAAACAGACCTGAAAAAATCCAGCATTCTTTACAATCAATTTAAAAAGACGATAAATATGATAGTTGGATTTACGAGTTAATGTGTAGTACACTTCTGTCTCCTAAAAGAATTTATAGTTTACTATAGATAGAAGATAGAAGAAAGCAGATAGATAAATGATACCAACTTTCAGGTACATGTCCTGTATTTTCTAGTGAAAGTACCATAACCACAGCAAATCAAATGTTAAAAATTAAACTTTGTTTTATAATCATCATTAAACATTTAGGTTTTTTAAATAAGTAGGACTATTTGTGGTTGTGTAAATGATTATTTTGTTCTGAAAATTGATGCCACAATCATTGTGTGCAGTTTTTTTTAAATTTTAAATGCAAATAATGTCATATTTCATATCAACTAACAATCACTTATTGCTTATTGGTTTTTGAATAAATGGTAAAAGAAAGCATGGTAAGAGCCAAATTCACAAAAAAATGTAAAGTTATAAATTTCAAATTTAAATTAATTCTGAATTAAAATGAAAACAATAATTTAATATGGCTATTGCAAGGACATCGTTGCCAATAATGATCATCTCTTATGTCATCAACAGTGCAAATCAGATGCCAACATAGACTTCTATGACTAAGGTCAGAATGCATTCTTGCTGTTGTGCACAGATTCAGACAGTTTTTTCTAATGTATATCCTTATTTCAACTTCCTTTACATTCAAATGTGAGAAGTGGTCATAATGAAAAAAAATTCAAACTTGATCTGTATTTTGTGGTAATAAGCATTGTGTATAAGTTTCATAACCTTTGGTTGAGGCAAATTTAAGTTAGAGAACGGAAACGAAAATTTAGCAATTTTTTCATTTGTAAAGGGGCATAAATCTAGGACGGTTAAAGTGACACAGATGATGCCCCCGCTTGCATATCATATAAAGTTATAAAGGGACATAGCTGAAGAACGGTAAAAGTGACTCTACCCAAATTTGTACTTGATCTGAGTTTTGTGCTTATAAGTATTGTGTATAAATTTCATAACATTTGGTTGAGGCAAACTTAAGTTAGAGAACAGAAACCAATTTTGGGACGTACGTACGTACAGACGGACAAGGGTAAAACTTAATGCCCCCTCCGTTACGGCGGGGCATAAAAATTTGAATCATATCAACACATGTAGTTACAACAACTATATCGTGCCATTATAGAAATTGTTGAAAAGATTGAGTTTAATCTGCAGATAAGGTTTCAGAAAATTATCTGTTTTGACTAATCAGAATTTCCTTTTAAAAAATGATTAATATAAAGCTACAGCCTAACATGCAAACAAAAAAAAAATACAATGCCAAAACTAAACAGTAAAAAAGATGTTTTTCAATAATGTTAAATGTATAGGTTATATGGTCATGGTAATATTGATAGGTATGAAAAAAAACAAAGAAAAATTTAAGATTTTAATGAAGTTCACATTTTAATTCCGTGGACTAGACTATGAAATATGATACTACATGTACCAGTATGACTACTTTACAGAATAAACAAGTTTGACCTGTAACTAGCAGTACTTGTGACATCAAACTGTTCATGGAAACATTACTAACATTGAAAATGTGAAGTGTTGGGCAATCAGAATTGAGACAAAAACCTAATATGAAATATAAAAAATAATCAGAGGTGAATAACTGACTTGTAATCAAATATTATGGAAAGCAACTAGTCTGCTTAACCCTAACTATGGAAGGGCTGTAACATTACTGCCTTTCCCCAAATTTCCAATTAGGCTCTCCATACTTTTTGAGGTTACCTGTTTGATATTGATTTAAAAATGCAAGCATGACCCACCAAACTAAGGATATTTATTGTTATGTGCATCAAGTTTAAGGTGTAGTTTGAGCCCAAATTTGAACTCTGAATTGAAATCTGAAAAAATGACAATTATGGAGGGGTGAGCTTCCCTTCTTTATCTGGCCAAAGCAGTAGAGGTATGTTACTTCCAAAAAACAGTGTAAACCAGCAGGAAAATTACTGTACTACTAATCATGTTTATAACTTAAAATACATTTTTGGAATGACTATTTTAGATTGCAGGTCCAAATGAAACAAATCTGGGGAGACAGGATTTTTGGTCAAAATGGCCACCTTTAAACAGGGATGTATTCCTAAAAAGGTTAAGGTTGGAGAATTCCTTTTGTTCAGAAGCTTTATTTATGAAACTGACAATAATCTTAAATTTACACTGACCTACAAATCTGTAAATGTAATATTCAAGCAAAACATTTGAACACTATCATAATGTAAATTACCCCACAAAACAGCTAATACCACTGAAAGTATATTAAACTACCTTTAACAATATTCTTTTCTAAGCTAAAATATTAGTATACAATCTAAATTCTTTTACTAACTGTACAACAAGCTACATGTATACAGCCAAACTTTATCATCTTCTCTTCATTTAGTTATAGGAACTCAGAAATCTTTTTTCTATCCAGTAAATTAAGAAACTTTTGTGATGTTTTTTTTTTATATTGTGAAAAATACTACACAGAAGTAAGATTGTATTTACTTTCAGAAAGATGCATTTTTTCATTTGTTCAAAACACATCAAAACTCAATTATTCAATAAGATGACGAATAGCAATTAAAGATATGTTCCTTTTTGGTTTTTTTTTCATGAGTGTGTAGGGACTTTGTGTCATGAATGAATACACTGTAATTTTTCCTTTCCCTTTAAAGTTCAAAATATGGTCTGGAATTTTATCTAAATTTTCAAATATATAAGAAACAGTAAAAATGGATAACATTATGACAGATCATAATAAAGATTTACTGTAGATCTACTCATGCATATTTCCATAAAGCACTAAACATACCATCACAACTAGTATAAAACAAAATCACAAGGCTTGATAAAAAAAAAAACATTACATACATGAAGGAATACTTTATATTTTAAGCTAATACCCTGTTTACAGTTTTCAAAATGTTTTGCATGAGCAAACATGTATATCCTTTGTCCTTTTCTTAATCAAATCTCCATAAAACTGGCAATTTTTTATTTAAAAATATATTGTATTCAGTGTTCCTCAAAATATTGCCAGTTTATTTGGCTAGTAGATCTGTTACTTCCTCGTTCCATAGATTGCATCTGAATCTGTCCTCTCCAGGAAACTAGGATATCACACAGAAGCACTTCTATCCATATTCCACCGACTTTTAAAACAAGCTAAGGTTTGTCCAGCTTTCCATGAAGTACACTGTTAACCTAGGATACTTTCCATGAAGTATACTGTTAACCCTAGCTACTTTCTATAAAGTATACTGTTAACTAGGATACTTTTCATGAAGTATACTGTTAACCTAGGATACTTTCCATGAAGTATAATGTTAACCTAGGATACTTTCCATGAAGTATACTGTTAACCTAGGATACTTTCCATGAAGTATACTGTTAACCTAGGATACTTTCCATGAAGTATACTGTTAACCTAGGATACTTTCCATGAAGTAAACTGTTAATCTAGGATACTTTCCATGAAGTATACTGTTAACCTAGGATACTTTCCATGAAGTATACTGTTAACCTAGGATACATACCATGAAGTATACTGTTAACCTAGGCTAGTATAAAATTGATTCTACTTTAAATGAGAGCTACATTTGAAATGTTCATACATAACTTAACAACTTTAATTTATATTTGTTAATCCAAGGTTAGATTGGTGCAACTGCCGACAGGTTTTTATCCAGTAAAGATGTTTTAAAAATTATTCTGAAATTAACAGTTCACCAAAAATAAGTAAGAAATACAAGCTCACATTGTTATGTTTTTAGAAATCTATAAAACAAATAAATGGGAATTGTGGACACAGATGATGCCCCCACTTGCATGTAACATTATAAACGAATTTAACTCAAGAACGGTAAAAGTGACGCTACCCAAATTCGTATTTGATCTGAGTTTTGTGGTAATGAGCATTGTGTATAACTTTCATAACATTTGTTTGAGGCAAACTTAAGTAAGAGAATGGAAACCAATTTCGGGTCGTACGGACGGACAGACGTACAGACGGACAAGGGTAAAACTTAATGCCCCCTCCGCTATGGCGGAAGAATGAAAAGTGCAAAAAGCTTCATAATGAACACAGGACAGAAAAATGGAGGCAAACACATTTAAATGATGTATGTCAAAATTAATGTTACATGGATAATGTGGTTTATAAAATCCATCTTTTAATCATATTGTACTTAAAACTTAATGGATTGGTTAAAAGTATATAATTATTATTCTTTCAACTGCTCCAAATAAAAAAAATAATTTCTACTGCAATATAACAGATCCTTTTCACTTTTATTCAATTAAACAAAATCTGTTATACCTTCATTGTCTTTCTTTGAATTTAAAGTCTTAGCCATTTCAGCAAAAGTGTAGTTATTTTTATTTAGTACATGTACCATTGTAAATGTTATATATGGACAACATAATCTAACCACAGTTATTTTGAAGTATATGTACACATGAAGAAATAGCTCTATTTGTTTATTGAACATTAACTGTATATCCCCAAGAACACCACTAAGTTTTCCTCCTTTAACATATACTGATATGTCAACTTCCATGTCATACAGGGTGGTTCTTTACCGGTACACATGCACTGAGTTTAAATGTAATAATCTTTTATTAGTTCTTTCTGCTAGGTCATGCCATAAATTCAGGACAAAACTTTTCTTTTGAATATTTCTGTGTCCATCTTCCATTCTTAGTGTAAAAATTTCCATCTAATCATATTTCAGAATTTCTGACATCTTTCTCCCTATATGTATTTGAGGAGGTCATATGTTAGACCTTTATTATTGTCAAGACACAATTAAAAAAAATCATAAAGGTTTCCAAAAAAACCCTAAGCTGGGGAAACCTGTGTCTTGCCTGCAATTGCTCTGTCAGTGTAAAAGTGTAATGATGACTGTAAAAAGTGAGTCTATTTATCGGTAAAATAAAGAATCTAAAAAAAAAATCAATCTTTTTCCTTAGATGCTATTTCTTGATCTTGAAGATTAGGTTCTGTCCAAGTTCCATAACAATCTATGAAGGTTTATAAATTATCATGTCAAAAAAATTGAATCCCAGACTGTCTGTTAATGTTAGACAAGGGGCTGTCGAGTGACAGCAAACTGGATTTTCCTGCAGAGGTCGAACCCTGAACAGTTCAGCAAGTATGGACACAACATTTAAGCTGAAAACAGCTCTGAATTTGGACTGTGATTGAATATTTAAAATAGATTATTATCTAATTAATACTGAAAATGATATTTTCAAATCTGAACCCCCAAACAGGATCATGTAAAAATTAAACATTAACACACACAACAAAAATAAAATACCACATAACAACTGTGACATCTACCTTCATAACACACATGACTTAAAAAAAATAGTTATAAAGAAATTTTGACAACTAATGACTAAAATTAATTGAACAGATTCCATATACTTAATGTTATCATTACCGGTTCATGGAACAAGTTTGAGCTATTTCCCTTTGAACGGAAATTGTTTAACTAATAAAGCAAACGTAGTTCTCTAAAATTAGATATGATTCAACCACTAAAATTAGATATGATTCAACCACTAAAATTAGATATGATTCAACCACTAAAATTAGATATGATGTAACACAATGTATATCTGTTTTCAAATTATAATCAAATATAATTAATAGTTCCAAATATTTTTTCTTCAATTGTTACAAACTAATATAGATCTGCAACTTATCTATCAATGACAACTTTATCTACACAATGTAATGTAATGAAATATATCCGTTAATAAAAATAGATTATTATCTAATTAAAGGAGTTCACTTCATCAAAAAAAAAATAAATATATAGCTTTCAGAAAATTAGTTTATACAGTAAAACAAACAAACCTACCACAAAATTCTTCAAACAATTTACCAAAGAAAAGAAAAAAAAAATCCAAAATGTCATTTATCATTTATACAATGTCTTTTATAAATCTTTTAAAAAATGAGTTATTTCCCTTTGAACAGAAAAGTAGTAATCATTAAGTATTTCATCAAAATTGAATTCTTGGGAAAGGGCTATAACTAAACAAGAAAAGCTAAAATCGTGAAAATATAACTCGACCTTCATTTAGTCACAGGAAACAACATATCTAATTTTGAAAAAATTTCGTCAAAGCATTTTCATGTTAATGAACAGACACCGTTTGGCAGCCGCCCGCCCGCCCACCATACATTACCAAATTAATAACCATTTTTTTTTTTTACAAAATCCTGTTAAAAACTAAGTGCATCTATCAGAAAAATACTGAAAATGAAAAAAAAATATATTTTCCTTTTGCTTCAGACATCTCTTATTCATAAAAAAAGCTTCTGCCAAAGTTTCATAAAATTCTATGAAGGTTTGACAAAGTAATTGATGGTTAACAAACTGTAAAAATGCTAAGTTCATTTATCAGTTAAATATTTCAAAATGAAAATAAATATTTCAAAATATTGCTCTGGATACTGTCTGTTGGTCATAAACAAGCTTCTGTCCAAATTTCATAAAATTCCGAGGTTTGACAAAGTTATAAAATGACGGGAACAAAAATTTAACCTTAGACTGAATCTTAATGTTAACCGTGAAAAAAGTCCTTTTATCAGTAAAATACGAAAAAAATGAAAAGAAATACTTTAAAATTTTGCTCTGGATACTGTCTCTTGGTAATGAACAATCTTCTGTCCAATTTTATAAATTTCCATGAAGGTTTGACAGAGTTATTGATGTCTAAAAAAATTTTAACAACAGACTGAACCTAAATGTTGACAACGCTGACAACGAAATCTAGGATTGCTATGTCTTGCTTTCACGACATAAATGTTGCAGGCTCGACAAAAATGTATAAATATACTTGCACTTAAAATAAAGGTGAAATTGTAGCATAATTAGCATTTTTAAAGGGTAATAATATGCAGACAACAATTGTCTTTTTTTAATGCATAAATAAAACAAAATAAACTGCTTTAAAAAATCTACTTAAAGTATTGTATGACTATTCAATCTTAGTAAATTTCACACAGTCTAAAATCATTTTTACAACAACAAAACATACGGAACAAAACATCAGTGAATAAATACTGACTATAAACAACAAAAGCAAACATGAAAATCTAACTGCCAACTTTTATCTTAATATGTGTTAAAATACATGTATCTTCTGGAAAAAGTAGACTACAAAAAAATAAAAATCAATATTCTTTCTAACTGTTCAATACCCCAAAAGTTTGTTGTTATTAAACAGATTACCTTTATAAATATATTGGAAATAATCTTACATTCAAATACAAGAAACTTCAACACAAAGAAAATTTTCTGTACACTAGACTTACAAAATTAAGTAATATCAGCATATTTTCAGCATCAAAATATTGACTTGTAATTTAAGATCATATGTATTATTAAAATATTTCAATACTGATCAGTAATTATCAACCTAAATAGGAGAAAATGTGCCAAGCAAAAGAAGAAGGTGCAAAAGGCAAAAGTTGACATATAGATTTCCATTTAGTAAATGAAGGGTATTCTAGCCAGAAAAAAAAATGTTAGTAAAAACATTGTTAGTTTCTCCGACCAGTGCTACTCACATGGATAATATAAGTAAAGAAATCTTCTGAGATTTGGCTTTTTACTATCAGCATGAGTAGTGTGGTTGTGGTGGTATTGAGTATGTTTTAGAGATAGTGGGTTATCTCCCCTTGGTCTCTGACATGAGTTTTAGTTCCTGATAGTGAGTTATCTCCCCCTTGGTCTCTGACATGAGTTATTGATCCTGAGTAGCTGCCATTGAGTTTGTAACTGAGTAGTAGTTAATCATGTGGGCGAGTTCATACTCCTTGGAGCAAAGCTAAATGTTGATAGACCAGTTATAACACACATGTCACAATATAGTACTAAAAATGTCTTATGTGTAAATAAATTTTTTATTTCAGAATCGTATGGGATTTGCAATTTCCCAAACATTAATGATCTTACAATAAACCAGATTGAATTCAATAATACTTTATAATCAAACAATTTATGTATAGAAATGATTCACGCATATTTGCTATTCACTGAATTGATGAATAATTTTCAAATACAGGGAAAACTTCAAAATATGTGCGTTAAGATCAACTCCATTTTTACAGCAAAAAAGTTCAATTCAACATCACCCTAAAATACACATATTTTCTTTGTCTATCAAATATTCCATATTTTTTATTTGAACAATTAAAAAAAAAAATTGTCATATAAAAAAGGACACCTTTTAAATCAGTAAATCTGACAAAGGAAAAATTATCTAAATAATTAATTTATAAAAATTTTACATCAACAATTTATCAAGTAAAGGAATTAAAATTTAATAGAATAGCAAACCGTTTTAACATATGGCTCTAATTATGTATCTCTTTAACAAGTTATAAAATGTAGTAACTTTTTTCAAAGTATATTTTAAACAGATGATACCTACCCTTGATTGTCCCTACTTTCATCTGGTTTCATATCACTGAAAAAAAAGTTTTACATGTCAATAAAAAACATCATAGATACCTGATAAAACTACCAATCATTGAATTGGGGAATCCAAAGTTCAGACTGAATCATTAGTGTTATATTTGTACACTTAAGTATGTATTTTCAACAGCTGAAAGTATCTAAGGCAAACCAATATTTTGTTCTAATATGAAGTTAAAAAAAAATCAGACTTTAGGTCAATGGATGTAGTACTATTTCTATATTACTTTTATTTTTTTGTTTCAAAATTTCACCACAGGAAACCATTCCAAGCACAGAGGTCAATGTGAGCTAGTTTTTATTCGCATGCTTCACAGATTTTGATTGAATTTACCTTGAAAGTCTTTGAAAAAAAGGTTATATAAGTAACAACAAAATTTGATATAAAATTAACATTATCAATGATCCAAGTCAATGTGGTCATATGAACCATATCAGACAAACATGTAACCTTACAATCATTACATACACAAAATATAGGTTAACCTATTGCATATAGTATCTGAGAAACAGAACTAGATAAGAAAACTTAACTTTGAACAATGCACCATGAAAATGAGGTCAATGTCAATTAACACTGCCAGACAGACATGTTCACCTTGCAATCATCCCATACATCACATATAGTTAACCTATTGCTTATAATTTTCCAGAAATGGACTTAACCATGAAAACATAAAGCTGACTTTTGAACTATGAAAATGACATTAAGATTCGATGAATCCTACCAGACAGACATGTACACCTTACAATCATTCCATACACCAAATATAGTTGACCTACTGCTGATAGTATCTGAGATACAGACTTGACCACAAAACTTTACCACAATCACTGATCCTTGATTGATTTGAAGTTAGGTGAACACTGTCTGACCGACATGTAGACCTTGCAAGGATCCCATATACCAAATATAGTTATCCTATACTCATAATAAGTGAGAAATTCACACAACAAAGAAACTATAGTTTTTTTAAACAGTTGCTTAACCATGAAAATGAGGTCATGGACAATGGGCATATGACAGACATGAATTTCACATCATAATCCATCTGTATACAAGGTATGAAGCATCCAGGTCTTCTAGTCTGAATATAAAGCTTTGTACGAATAGTTTACTTGGTTGCCATTGGGCTATAATCCTTAGGCAGCAATACACAGTTAGGAAAAAAACTCAAAATTGACAATCATAATTTTTAACCCTCTTTCCCTTGCTTTCAAACAAATAAGGCTTAATGTTTGTGTCATGTATGTGCATATGTATGGAAACAGCATGATCCATAGATTTGATTTACAATAGTTAAAATGGTGAAATATAATCTCTTTGTGGTGTAACCATGGCAGCAATCTGCATTTATTTGATACAAAATATTGCAAAAAGGGTGGTCACAAAAGTCCATCCATTTGAGTGATACCTTTTATGAAACCCTTGACATTTATCTATCAAGAGGTAACAAATAAAATCATATGCATTTCACCTCATTTTTCCATAAAATTGAATTGAAAAATTCGAGCATAAAATATTTGTTGGAAAACACTACATTAATTTCTGGACCTATGGGTGGTACAGATGTAAAAATGCAGACTGTCAAACAGAAAATGGCCTATAAAACATGCAAAAAATAAATGGGGAATGTGTCCATGGGACACAGATGATGCCCCCGCTTGCATATCATATAAAATTATAAAGGGACATAACTGAAGAACAGTAAAAGTGACGCTAACCAAATTTGTTAATGATCTGCGTTTTGTAGTAATAAGTATTGTGTCAAAATTTCATAACATTTGGTTGAGGCAAACTTAAGTTAGAGAACGGAAACGAAAAATACAGCAATTTTTTCCATTTCTAAAGGGGCATTACTCTAGAACAGTAAAAGTGACACCACCAAAAATCAAACTTGATCTGTATTTTGTGGTAATAAGCATTGTGTATAAGTTTCATAACCTTTGGTTGAGGCAAATTTAAGTTAGAGAACGGAAACAAAAATTCAGCAATTTTTTTATTTGTAAAGGGGCATAACTCTAGGACGGTTAAAGTGACGCCATTAAAATTCAAACGTGACCAGTGTTTTGTGGTAATTAGCATTGTGTATAAGTTTCATAACATTTGGTTAAGGCAAACTTAAGTTAGAGAACTGAAACGAAAAATTCAGCAATTTTTCTTTTTGTAAAGGGCATAACTCTAAAACAGTAAAAGTGACACCACCAAAAATCAAACTTGATCTGTATTTTGTGGTAATAAGCATTGTGTATAAGTTTCATAACCTTTGGTTGAGGCAAATTTAAGTTAGAGAACGGAAACAAAAATTCAGCAATTTTTTTATTTGTAAAGGGGCATAACTCTAGGACGGTTAAAGTGACGCCATTAAAATTCAAACGTGACCAGTGTTTTGTGGTAATAAGCATTGTGTATAAGTTTCATAACATTTGGTTAAGGCAAACTTAAGTTAGAGAACTGAAACGAAAAATTCAGCAATTTTTCTTTTTGTAAAGGGCATAACTCTAAAACAGTAAAAGTGACACCACCAAAAATCAAACTTGATCTGTATTTTGTGGTAATAAGCATTGTGTATAAGTTTCATAACATTTGGTTGAGTCAAACTAAAGTTAGAGAATGGAAACGAAAAATTCAGCAATTTTTCCATTTGTAAAGGGGCATAATTCTAGAACGGTTAAAGTGACGCCACCTAAATTCAAACTTGATCTGTGATTTGTGGTAATAGGCATTGTGTACAAGTTTCATAACATTTGGTCGAGGCAAACTAAATTTAGAGAACGGAAACCAACTTTGGGGCGTACGCACGGAACGTACAGATGGACAAGGGTAAAACTTAATACCCCCTCTGCTACGGAGGGTGCATAATTATCTTGATGTGCATATAAACCCACTTTGAAGGCTATATTATTCTTCAGGTATCTAAAAGTTAATTTGAATGAACAAAAACTTTCATATTTGAAAAATTCACCGTGACCAAACTCCTAACTGTGTATTGCTACCTCATGTCTCCTTTGCGAAACAAAAACAAAACCAGTGACCACCTTATATTTTCATATCTTAAATGGAAATGCCAACAACAAAATTGTATAAATTCTAATCAAAATTCTGTGGACTGATATTCAAGAAGTGCAATTTGAAGTGAACAAATGTATATTTTTTCGCCACTGTTCACATACATTCCATACATTTATAGACTTTATGCACAAATTTTTAATTGAGTGTATCTCTTGAATTTTAAATGCTGCACATATAATTTTTTCCGTCTTAAAGGCAATAATTCCAATAAACAGTCAGTTGAAGGTTACAGTACTCAAGCGACTTACATCTCGCCTTAATCATAATACCAGTCTATTTATAATAGTATTCAAGATAAAGGGGAAGCACTTAATTTGGTTATTAATCTTCATATAAAGGCAATAACTCCTATAAAGAGTCAATTTATGTTTTTTTTTTAGATCTTATATTGGGGATCATATCGGCTGAATAAATTTCCGTCTATCAAATAGTTTTCAAGATATATTACCCATATGTTGTTTTTTTGTCAATACAAGGGACAAATCTAAAATCAGATACCTTAAGAATGATTGACACAAGTGATTTCAGAGCAGAAGATTTTTTTTTTTAAGTTTAAAGTCATAAGATGGGGACAACAGATTTGACTAGCTCACACTGGCCCATTAAGCCATGTAACCTGATGAGACAAAAAGACAGTCCACGAAACACTACACAGAAAACCAAACATTGAGCAACATGAACCCCACCAGGGGTGAACTACAGTGATCAGAAAGAGTAAGCAGTTCCTGCTCCATAAGCTGCTCCATAACAAGTAAAAATCTGGTGATATGAGTGATTCCTAATTAGAAATCAAAATTTTAAAGGGATTGGATTGCTGATTTACAAACCAAATTACCTTGAGGCAGACTGGTCCATTTTATCAGATTTGGTGGGAGATGGTGAACGATCTTTAGAAGATGTTGAGACGTTGTTGTGCTCTGGTGATTTACTCTGCCTTTCTGGTGATTTACTCTGCATTTCTGGTGATTTACTCTGTGTTTCTGGCGATTTACTTCTTCTTTCTTGTGATTTACTTCTGTCTGGTGATTTACTTCTTTTGTCTGGAGATCTACTTCTTCTGTCGGGTGATTTACTCTTTCTTTCTAATGATTCATTGTTTCTATCTTGTGATTTCGTTTTCTTGTCTTGTGATTTACTCTTCTTATCTGGTGATTTGGATGCATGCTTTGATCTTGATCTGCTACGCCTTGAGGATTTCCTTTTTGGAGATTTACTTCTGGATCGGGAGCGGGATTTTGATTTACGTCTGAAAATAGTTTGAAATAGATAATGCAATGTATACTTAAAAATTGTTGATAGATATCTCTTTAAAGTATATTACAGAAAGCATAATTATTCTTCATACTGATGTACTGTCTGTCACTAAATAGTAACCAAAACATGTCACTAGATATCAAGTTTTGATAAAGTCCAAGCATTATGATTTTTATTTTTTTTTTGGTGGCCATTTCAAAAATAGGGGAATGACTGACTATATTTTACACCAGGAATTTGGAATAGAATATTATAACTATATAGCACTTTTCATTGAAATCCTAACACAAAAAGATGTTTGTGATTTTTCAACTGAAGTTAAAATAAACGGTTTTTCCAATTTTCACTTACTGCAAATTTGACACTGGAAACCAATCTAGTTTTTGGTCCTAAATCTCTTAAATTTAATAGCAGTTATATAAAATTAATCTTCAAATAAAAGTTTTTTCAATTTGTTGAAGTAATATGGTGTCATTTACCCTTTTTTTTCTTTTCATTTTACAGGTATAAGCATATAATATTGATGAAGTCTGATGCATAACCGTATCATGTAAGAATAAAATCTCCTATGATAGCCAAAGGTATATAATAAGAATCTTGACATCCAAAAAGTTCATTAACTTTTCTTTCCTTGGTTTACATTTTGATAAAATCTGTTGCCAGAA